GTCTTTGGCAGGAAAAACATTTTTAATCAATGATTTTATCACTGAGCACAATCTCGATTTTATGTTCTTAACAGAAACTTGGATTGAACAAAATAACAGTGCAGCTGTTCTTATCGAATCAACCCCTCCCAACTTTAGTTTTATGAGTCAGGAAAGAATGCATAAGAAAGGAGGTGGAGTTGCTATTCTGTTCAATGATTCCCTTCAATGCAGGAAGACATCTTATGGAAACTTTGCTTCTTTTGAATATGTGGCCCTTCAGCTGAAATGCTCCTCTCGAGCTCTGTTCCTAAATATCTATAGACCACCCAAATACTGTGCAAGCTTTTTTGATGATTTTACCGAGTTGCTGTCGATAGTGTGTATTGACTTTGACCGTCTAGTCATCGTTGGTGATTTTAACATCCATGTTGACAACCCCCAGGACAGAGGGGCTAAATAACTGTTTTGTGTTCTTGATAGCTATGGACTGGCTCAGCATGTGACGGAGCCCACGCACAATAAGGGGCACAATCTGGACTTAATTATCTCAAAAGGTCTGAATGTCTCTAAGGTTGTGGTGACTGATGTTGCACTCTCTGACCATTCCTGTGTTTACTTTGAGAGCTCTCTTTCTGTTCAAAAAGAGGTAACCACAAAGCGATATTTAACTGAAAATACTAGGGAAATGTTTACTCAGAATTTTTCTTCCACACTTGCCCCTGCTAACATCTCAGTAAATGAGCTAGTAGATACTTTTAATTCAAAAATTAAAAATGTTATAGATGCCATTGCTCCAACTAAGGTAAAGGAAGTGTCTGGCAAGAAAATATCTCCATGGAGAAAGGCCATGACCGTGAAAACAGAAAAAAGAGAATGTCGAAAAGCTGAACGCAGGTGGCGAAAAACAAATCTCCAGGTTCACTTTGAAATCTATAAAGAGAGACTTGGCCTTTATAATTTGGAATTGAAAAACGCACGACAGTCTTTCTTCTCTGACATCATTACCAACCGGACCCTGAATCTAACTAAAGCTGTCGTCCATAGAAAATAATGTGCGCCAGGGAACCTACGTTCCTGAAAAGAAGGGCCTCTAGATGTCCCTGAATAATAAACTATCATGTCAGCTTGTGCTCGGTGATAAACTGGCAACAACAATGCGCCCAAGCTGCCCCTCCTTAAGAGAGATAGCAGCAATACCCAAGGCCGTAGAACTATGCCATGGGACAGGAGACAGTGAGAAGAGAAAACGATGAACTTTGTCTGAGGTTGAATACCTAAGCAAATTATTCCCTAACAATAAATAAATATATATATATATATATATATATATATATATATATATATATATATATATATATATATATATACACAGAATATATATTTTGGGAGAGATATACACTAGTATTAGACGCAGTCAAAAGTTTGGACAAATCTTTTTATTTATTTAAATTGGTTCTACATTGTAGATTTATACTGAAGACATCAAAACTATAAAAGAACACATATGGAATTGTCTAGTAAACAAAAAAGTGTTAAAAAAATCCAGAATATGATTTATATTTTGCTGGCTACTGCAGAATGCTGTGGTAGCCATGCTGGTTCAGTGTGCCTTGAATTCTGAATAAATCACCAACAGTGACACCAGCAAAGCCCCCCCCCACCATCTCACTTCCTCCTCCATGCTTCACGGTGGGAACCACTCATGCAGAAACCATCCGCTCACCTTCTCTGCATCTCACAAAGACTCCTTGAGCTCTGTGATCATTTATGTGGGCTCTAATCTGAGGTGCTTTCATTTGCGGTTTCTGAGGCTGGTAACTCTTGTGTATTTATCCTCTGCAGCAGAGGTAACTCTTGCTCTTCCTGTCCCGGGGGGTTCCTCATGAGAGCCAGTTTCATCATAGCGTTCGTTGGTTTTTGCGACTGCACTTGAGGATACATTCAAAGTTCTTTAAATGTTCCGGATCGACTGGCCTTCATTTCTTAAAGTGATGATGGACGGCCGTTTCTCTTTACTGAGTTGAGTGGTTCTTGCCATAATATGGATTACAACAGCAGTCAAATAGGGATTTCCACTGTGCACTAACTCTACCTCTGCAAAACACAACTGATGGTCTCAAACACATTAAGAAGGCAAGTAATTCCACAAATTGAGTCTTGACAAGGCACACGTGTTAATTCAAAACCATTCCAGGTGACGACCTCATGAAGCAAACTGAGAGAAGCTAATGGCGCGTTTCCACTACACGGCCTCGCTCGTCCCGCTCGGTATGGCTGGGCCTCGTTAGGACTGGCTCACTTTATGGCGCATTTCCATTACAGTTTAGGAACTGGGGTAGTATCTATAGTAACGCAGTGTAGGCGGAGCCGTGACGTGATCTTCAATGAGAACCCCAGAAAAACAACACAGCCGTTAGCTGTTAGCACTCAGAGCTCACAGCAGAGTTCCCGTTAGAATATTTTTTTGCCGGTCAACATGTCCGTTAAAGTTGAAATCTTCCGGACAAAATTAGATAAGTGCCGGTTAAAGGTCTTCTTTGTTATTTATTGAGCTTTAAAACAAATTGATATGATTCGACATTAAACAAACTAATTATAGTAGATTAACTACATTATTCAAAAGTGTACAGTAATTTACAAAAACGCGGGAATAATAAACGGAGCGCTCTCTCCTTCTCCTGACAGCCCGTCAGTATCATGCAGCTCGCGGATCCAGTAATGAGTGACCCGACAGTAAAACTAAACATATCTATAACTAGTTTAGGTAGTTTGAGAGGTAATTAAAATAGCTACGTGTGATTTTCTAACCTGAAGTGTGTTTTGCTCTGCTCGCCGCTGCAGGGGATCATGCAGAGCTGCGTGTCGACTCGTCAGCAGCAGCCGATCTCTCTCTCCTGTCAGATTAGACTTTACTCGCATTTATGTCCATATCGATCAGATCTAGCTAGTTCTAGCTAATGATATGACTACCTGCTTGTTAAAAGACACCTAAACAATAAGCGTCGCTATGCAACCGGATGAGGCCACAAAGTATAGCGCAGCATTATGCATTTGTTTACATGCCCACCGGAACCCCGAGGCATTACCAACAGATCAACGCACAATCAACCCATACAGGACATCTCTTTCTCCACATTAAGTGTTAGACATTAGAATTGACAATTTTTGTCTGTCACATACTCTTTTGTCTGTCACATACTATTCTTGTCTGTCACATAAGTGGCGCAACTGATGCGGTATTGCGCTAAGGGAAAATTATTTTGACCGGACATTTTGACCGGAGAGATTTAGATTTGCCGGACTTCAGCATATTTTACCGGTCATTGTCCGGTAATTACCGGCTAACGGGAACTCTGGCTCACAGCTCCTCATATATGTTCAGAAACTAGACAAAAGTTAAACAAGTACAAACCACAGACTGCCTGTGTCATGGTGAATACAGTCGCTGCTTTATTTATGTCTGTATAGGCCGTTGTTGTGAGTGTGGACGGTCGGAGCATATACTGCGTTAGCTTAGCCAATCTCCATTTAGAAAACACGCATTTTAAAAGGTTTTTCGCCTGCCGTCTGTCTGCAGACTTGACAAAGCATTAATTCATGGTTTTTACTAACCGGTATCAGTATGTTGTTACTTCGGCATCATTTTGAAACGTGTATTACAATTAAATCACGGTCAAATATGTCCATCTTGTTGTAGTTGTAGCCCCCTTGCCAGCGATGCTCTCTCTAGTTTAGCATACTCAGCCCGACTCAGCCTCGTTGTCTCTGGCCCTTGACCCGCGATTTTATGAGGCCAGAAAAACTGTGAATTAGGACCCGCCGGCCGGTACTAGGCCAAGTGGAAACGCAACCAAAGACGGGCCGCTGACGTCACAGCCCTCTTAAACCGTGCTCCGCGCTGTAGTGGAAACGCGCCATAAGAGTGTGCAAAGCTGTCATCAAGGCAGAAGGGGGCTACTTTGAAGAATCTAGAATTAAAATCATATTCTTGATTTTTTTTTAACACTTTTTTGTTAACTAAATAATTCCATATGTGTTCTTTCATAGTTTTGATGTCTTCAGTATTAATCTACAAAGTAGAAACAAATTAAAATCAACAAACCATTGAATGAGAAGGTGTCCAAACTTTTGACTGGTACTGTATACAAAAAACACACATTTTAATATTTAGCAGGTTCCCTCATCTATAATCATTTATACAAGCGCTACTTTAAACATGTACAGCAGTAAAATGCAACATACAAAATAATCAAGAAACATCATAAATGAAACACTGACAGGGAACATTTTACTGCACCATCATTACTTTTACATAAGGTGCCGTAAAAATGTTGGATAATACTTGCATACTTTTACTTAAATGAGGTTTGAATGCAGGATTTTAATTTGTAACAGAGTATTTTCATTCTATACTGTAGGCGTAGTGTATCTGTGAACGATCCCAAATACAATTCATTGTTTACATTGCGGCTAGTACTAAACCAGAAGAAAAAACCCTTTTAAATGTTTAACTGGAAGTGGAAAGGGGCTGGGCTACATGAGGTGAATTGAGCCAACAAAATTAGACATGTTTTGTGTGTTTCCTGTTCCCTGCAGACGTCCAGCAGCTGGTGGTGGTTAAAGAAGAGCTTCTCCATGACCAACAGGCGTGGAGCACCAGTCTGGACCAGGAAGACCCAGAGCCCCCCCCACACATTAAGCAGGAACAGGAGGAACTCGGGATCAGTCAGGAGGGAGAGCAGCTTCAGGACCAGGAGGAGGCTGATATCACCAAGTCCACTTTCACTCCTGACCCTGTGAAGAGTGAAGATGATAAAGAGAAACCTCAGTCCCCACAGCCTCATCAAAGACGAACTGAACACATGGAAACAGAAGCTGATGGAGATGACTGTCGAGGACCAGAACCAGCCAGGAACTCAGATCCAGAGAGCAGTTTACAACCAAAGACTGAGGGCGACACTGGAGACTCTTCTGAACCTGACACTGAAGACAGTGCTGATTGGAAAGAGACCAGAGAACCTGCGTCAGGCTCAAACTCACTGAAAAATAGACATGAATCTGTCAGTGATCAACGACGTAGTGCTGAAAAGAAACAATTCGGGTGCTCTGTTTGTACGAAATCTTTTACACAGAAAGGAGATATTAAGAAACACATGAGAATCCACACAGGAGAAAAACCATACAGCTGCTCAGTCTGTAAGAAAGGTTTTTCACAGAATGGACATTTAAAGCTACACATGAGAGTCCACACAGGAGAGAAACCTCACAGCTGCTCAGTCTGTAAGAAAGCTTTTTCACATAATATAAATTTAAAAGCACACATGAGAATCCACACAGGAGATAAACCACACAGCTGCTCAGTCTGTAAGAAAGGTTTTTCACATAATATACATTTAAAGGCACACATGAGAATCCACACAGGAGATAAACCACACAGCTGCTCAGTCTGTATGAAAGGTTTTTCACAGAATGGACATTTAAAGTTACACATGAGAGTCCACACAGGAGAGAAACCTCACAGCTGCTCAGTCTGTAAGAAAGCTTTTTCACATAATATAGATTTAAAGGCACACATGAGAGTCCACACAGGAGAAAAACCATACAGCTGCTCAGTCTGTAAGAAAGCTTTTTCACAGAATAGAAATTTAAAGGTACACATGAGAGTCCACACAGGAGAAAAACCATACAGCTGCTCAGTCTGTAAGAAAGGTTTTTCACAGAATAGAAGTTTAAAGGCACACATGAGAGTCCACACAGGAGAGGAAATATACAGCTGCAATGTTTGTGACAAAAGATTTAAATGGTGTACTGATTTCAAAAGACACAAGTGTGTTGGTCGTCAGTCCTCACAGCTTAATGAAATTCAAACTGAGGATAACAGAGAGGCAGAGCCTCCAATCAGCAGCTCAGCTGAACACATGGCAACAGAAGCTGATGGAGAGGACAATGAATAAGTCTTGAATATGACAGTTCACACGTGAAAAAATCTGTCTGACTGGAAAAACATTGTTGCACAACATTCATATAAGACTTAAATTAACTCCATCTTTATCAACATGAGTGGACAATATGTTTAATGTTTTGTCATACTGATTTATATGTTAAACACTGACTGTTGATGAACCATTTTATTTTTGGATTGAGGGCTCCCAAGTTTCCATGTAGAGATATAGGATGATTTGATGTATTGTTCTTTATTTCTAAATGTTTTGTATCTTTGCTATCCTGTTAATGAGCTCTGTTTTACATAAATGTTCCTGTTATCTGATTGTTTTTGCTTCTGTAACTAAGGGAATACATTTGCCTATTTTGTATCCTGATTACCTAATGCCGTTACATGTAATACATTACTCCCTAAGCCTGATTTCACGCACCTGCAACCGATTCGCTAATAATCACAAATGTTCATTTATTTGACCCCTTGACTCGACTGTTTCTTGTTTAATAATCGTTACATCTCCTCAGGACCAAGTAATGGACCAGCTAGTCTTAGGGTGTTTCTCAATGTCGAGGACGCTTCCTTGGTTGGACATGTCTTCCGAGTCAGGTCCTTCAAAGGCTAGGCAAGAATCCTTCCTCGCATTCAGAGAATGAAGAATGGAACAGGCTAGCAAGTGTGCAGGTGTGCGCCTTAAATTGAGCGGGATTTGTTTGAAGACTCATTGATCTGCGAAGATCGAAGATTTACTTGAGTAACTGTATTTTGTAAAATGATCATCTCCAGGACAGAACCACTAAACTAACATAAAACGTTCTCCTTCTGTTTGCAGCCTTAACCTGTTAAGCCCCGGGGGGAAAATCGCAACATCTGCAAGAAACAGTGTCTGAGGGCTTCTTAACATTTAAAGACCTATTAATGTGTCATACCCACTTAACGGGAAGAAACTCAGCTATCAGACAATATTAACAATTTTTAGCAAAACGAAACATAAGGGTAATAACAAAGGCTCTGAATTAGCCCTGAGCGAAAAAATGCTAACACACTTAGCACAGAACTCACGTGAAAATACCCTTATTACTTATCGTATCTGCACAAACAAGATATCGATTAGCAAGCTGAGATTGCACAGATTCGACAGTTATTGGTATCATTACTGACCGATCCGAACTCTCAACATGAGAAGCTAACAAAGACATCACACCACGTAGCATTAGTTAGTCAACACGGCGATATGTCTTACCTTTGTTGTTTTCTGATCAAAAGTTGTCTTCAATGGCATTAAAACGAAAAACAGCTACTGAAAGTTCATCCATAGGTTAATCCAATGTGTCTGTGTCACTTTGAAATGATTTCTGATAATCCATCAGCAATAAAACTAGTTTTCAGATTTCAGAGTGTAAGATAGGTTTCGCTTTGGGCAAACTGCGTGCGCATAGCTCTCATTTCTCAATGGTAATGACAATTAAGACTATTAAAAAGTATTAAAAGGCATTTTCCAAGGTATTACATTTTGTAACTTGTTTTCAATAAGTATATAAATTGTCCAAAGAGGTTGTATTCTAAAGTTTGCCTGAATGTAATCATTGCGTAGGTGTGCAGTGTGATTCTTTGTAGTTTATTTATGGCATCCCGTTGGATTTGACGTCATCTGAACAGGACATCGCACGCTCACTGACTGACTGCTGCTTGATAGCGCGCGAAGGTCTGTTTACGCCGGTTGTTAAACAACATCGTTATGGGGAAATGCACATTTGCGTCCAAATGGTTGGAAGATAAGGAGGAAGGACAATCAATACTGTATATAGTAAATGTGAGGGAAAGTGTGTCAAAATGTATGAAAAGGGTCTTAAAAAAGGTATTAAATTTGACTTCAGGATTCCTGCATATACCCTGTTATAGAGCCTTCAGGTTCTGAAAATTATCAGCGATAGAGCTAGAAAAAAAACCTGAATAGAGCTAGAAGATAGCCAGTATGAAGCCAAGAAAGAACCAGTAAGACAGGAAGGAACCTTACATTTTTGCTGCCAATTAATGAGATTTTTTCACAGCTTTTATCTTAAAATATTTAGACTTTTTTTCTTTACATATAGTTTACATAGGATGAAAAGCACGATCCACACTGCTGGATTCTGCCCAAATCTGCTCAAAATGCATGCAAACATCTCGCTTTATCCATACTCCTGCAGTTTTATTGTTCTGGATTCATAGTGAAGTGTATTAGATGTTCTGCACTGTTATTGTTATGTATTTAATATAAAGTGAAATACCCATTAAAAAATTCAGAAAAGAAAAGGGACTCACTTAAGGAAAAAGGTTCTGAACCAGCGAGAATTCTTCATTTGCACATAAACATGATATCATATTTAAAGTTGTGACCAGATGGTATCGCCCGCTGCACATTTAACGCTTTCCATTTTCTTTTCTTTTTTCGCCTTTTATACCACACTGCAAGTCTGACATTTTTTAATGAGACGACTGGAAGTTCGACTGCAGTTTTAAACAATTATAAACACAGCTCAAGTCTTTCACAGCCAGAAATATTTCTCTGTGTCACCTTGTCTATTATTTGCCTCTTTCTTTTCACAGCCAGAAATATTCAAGCAGAAAAATCAGTGCCTGTTAAATCAAAGGGAAAGCAATCATCTAAGACAACATTTTGAACTCAGCGTACAAGACTCATCAATCCTGTGATTTTTGGTCATAATCCAGGCTCTTTGTTCACATAGAGAAGGATATTACAGTGTTTGAGGGCCTATGTCGGTTAAAAGCCAGCGGAAGGGTGTATTAGTCTGGGAAATAACTCATAATAAAGTTGTAAATAAACAAGAAAGAAACTGTGATACCTTTAAAAAAGAAGTGTTTGAAGCTTGTTCTCCCCCAGCTCTCCTACGTGATGTCCGGCTGGCATTACTTCGTCTGCCCGTCAGAGTTCAACTCCAAACAGGTCCAAGTGGACTGCGAGCCGTCGGAGCTTTTCCAGCTGCAGGACTACGCCCTGCCCTCCGTCCTGGAGTCCTTCACCGGATGGGTAAGACTCTCCTGACCTTCATCTGTCCTTCCCGTTTTCTGGCATCACAAGTCACATAAACATTCATGTAACTATGAAACAATAAAATCACTATATTGCAAATCCAGTAAGCCAAAAAACAAGAGGGATCCGTAATATTTGTAGAATAATGTATTTGTGTAGCAACCTTTCAAACACTTTGGAAGTGGACAATGCCAAACCGATATAATACATCATGTCTGTAAAGCTATAGAAAAATATAGACGGTTTATTCTTAACAGGTCAAACATTACATATTTCAAACTCAAAGCTTATGACATTTATTTCAGGACCTAGCCTGTAGTTTCAGCTAGTTTTAATTGTGTCAGCTATGTTATTTAGTTTTAATCCTGTTTTACTCATTAAGTAAAGTTAAAATATATCTAAATGTTGTTTCTAGAGTACACATTAACAGAACCGAAGTCCCATTTAATACCAGGTTTTTATCATACGTTTCAACCTCATCATATTTTTCTCAGCCAGGTTTGATTTTGATACTAATGCTGTGTTCACACCGGACGCGATGCGACGTTTGGGGGCGGCGCGATTACATGTAAAGTCAATGCAGAGACGTGGACAGACGCGAATTCGCTCCGACGGTGCGCATGAAGCGGTGGACGCAGCGCGAATCACACGATTGAGGCGATTGAACAGTGCCGCGTTAAACGCGAGAGTTCAATTTTTTCAACTCGAGCGTCAAATTCACGTGACGCGTTCTCGCGGAAGCCAATCAGCGGTGAGGATCTCAGCCGCCGTCACTGACGTTCAACCACACAACATCAGCCGTTAGCTGTTAGCAGTTAGCACACAGAGCTCACAGCTCCTCATATCCGTTCAGAAACTGGACAAAAGTTAAACAAGTACAAACCACAGACTGTCTGTGTCATGGTGAATACAGTCGCTGCTTATTTATGTCTGTAGGCCGTTGTTGTGAGTGTGGAATGAGCATATACAACGTTAGCTTAGCCTGGTTGACCCGATCTTCATTCAGAAAACAAGCATTTTAAAAGGTGTTTTGCCTGCCGTCTTGTCTGCAGACTTGTCAAAGCATTAATTCATGGTTGTTACTAACCGGTATCAGTATGTTGTTACTTCGGCATCATTTAGAAACGTGTATTACAATTTAATCACGGTAAAATATGTTCATTTGTTGTAGTTGTAGCTCCCGAGCCAGCGCGTCTTGTTTGAATGATGCGAGTAAACACAGCTGGCAGCCGCGGTGAACCTCCAGCGTTTAGAGCGATGCGATAGGAGCGATTAGAGCGAAGCGAATAGTCGCATCGCGTCCGGTGTGAACGCAGCATAAAAGCCTGGGGATGCAAGTCCTATTTTAGCCAAAGCACTAGTAACTAGTTTAGTTTGATTGAACTGCTGGTCTCTGTTTCTGGGACTTGGGAGGACGGCCCGGGGGAACGGCATAGGTCAAGGAGGTGGTCTCGGGCGGGGAAACTCAGGGGGCCAAAGACAGGGGTGAAGGCCTCAACGGGGTAACTTAGGGGGCCGGGCTCGAGGGTGAAGGCCACGACTGGGGAACTCAGGGGGCCGGGCTCAAGGGCGAAGGCAGCGGCTGGGAAACTCAGGACGAAGGACGGGCAGGAAGGCGGCGACGGGACAGCTCCGGAGGACGGGCAGGAAGGCGGCGACAGGACAGCTCCGGAGGACGGGCAGGAAGGCGGTGACGGGACAGCTCCGGAGGACGACTTACGCCGCAATGGGACCCCTCCGGTGTCAGCTGGATCGCCAGAGCAGGAGTACTGGGATAGGGAGCAGGAGCTGGAGGGACCCCCGGCGGGACAGGTGTAGACAGGGACCCCGGACGGAACATGGGCTGGTGTCAGCGGGACCCCCAACGGAACAGGACACGGAGTTGGTGGGACAGGTGTCGGTGGGACCCCCAACGGAACAGGACACGGAGTTGGCAGGACCCCCAACGGAACAGGTGTCGGCGGGACCCCCAACGGAACAGGACACGGTGTTGGCAGGACCCCCAACGGAACAGGTGTCGGCGGGACCCCGAACAGGACAGGACATGGTGTTGGCGGGACCCCCGGTGGAACAGGTATCGGTGGGGCACCCAACGGAACAGGACATGGAGTTGGCAGGAACCCCAGCGGGGCAGGTGTCAGCGGGACACCCAACAGGACAGGACATGGTGTTGGCAGGAACCTCGGCGGAACAGGTTTCGACGGGACCTCCAACAGGACAGGACATGATGTCGACAGGACCCCCGGCGGAGAAGGGACTTGAGTCGGCGGGACCACAAACAGGA